TCCCCCGTTCGTAATACCGAAATTATTTACACGATTTATAATTATTTATACTCGTATCATCGGATAGCTGTGTTTTGATCTGATTTATTTTCGTCAAAGAACAGTAAAAAATATACGTCACATATGGGGAGAAGTACAATGTGAGCACGTTTTCTTAAGCCCTACAATCTCTTTCCCATCCTTTAACCATAAAAAAATGAATGATGAATAAACGTTCAAACAAACTGAGATTACCAACATTTGAAAACTATTTTCGCTCCCCAGTTATAAAAAATTTGCATCGGCAAACGAACTACAGACTTGCTTCACCTCCGACTATATTCCTACTTCTAATAGCAAAAGGTGAACTCACCAAAACGTGCTCGTAGAGAAGCTACTACATTTATTCCACTGTGGGTTCAACCTCGTGCGTTGTGTGCAGAGTTCCCTCGCGTGCTGGCGCTGACGCCGGCGCCGGCGCCGCTGGACGCGAAAGCGGCGGCGTCGCTGCGGGAGTTCGGCGCGTGGGTGCGCGCCGCGCTCGCCCCCGCCCCTGCGCCCGCTCCGGGCTCTACCCTGGCCGCCACCGCCCCCTCGCCCACGCCCACCGCCGCCCCGGCGCCGCTACCCGCGCCTTGGCTCGAGGAGCTGCGCGCCGCGCTGTGCGGGGGCGGCAGTGGGAGCGGGGCGGCCGCCCCCGCCGGCGCCGCCGCCCCCACCTGCCCGGCCCTCGACGATCACCTGGCGCGCGGCGCCGACGGACTGCGGTTCGCAATGGGTAAGAGGACAACCCCCGAGATCGTCAACAGCAATACGAGCCTATCAGAATACATGTTAAAAACTTCTAGAACTTGTTAGAAGCGAACATGATTACATTTTGCCACTTAACCAGTAGTGAAATATTTCATATAACTATGCTACACATGTTACATTTGGCAGTCTACGAGCTACTATCCGCGTTGGGGCAGATGATGAAAAGGGAAAATCACGACCATTGTGTGTGTCAGAATAAATTATACGAACTTGTATACCCCTGAAGAGATGTTAAAATTTTCTTCTGCATTTGGTAAAGTAGAATATGATCACATTTTGTCAGTAAACTAGTGGTGGGCAATTTTATTTAGTGAAGTTACACATTCGACATTTGTCCCTCATTAGTAAGCAACTTATTAAACCGACAGTCAACTGGTGTTCGACAAACATAATTCTTATACCTGGGTATGGCAAAATCTAGCGTACATATCAAACATTAGTATATATGGACTTGCCCAACAATAAGGGGTAATCGTCATATCTATAAATCCATCTTATGAAATTTTCCAGTTTAAATTTCCTGGCAAAAGTAATTACTTTCGTTCCTTCCATATGCTCTAGAAATTTGTAATGTTAGTACGCATGCCTACATTCCAAATGGCTAAGCAGCCATAAGCACTTAAAAACACACTATTAACATGTAAATTGTTTATTATTGACGACAGAAATGAACATATTTGTTCAGAAAGAAAAATTAACATAGAAATAGAAAAACAAATTGGGTACTTTTTTTATTTTTACGTATATTTTAACGTTCTTTTCTTTGTGAACAAATATATTAATTTGTTTTGTAAATAATAAACAATTTACACGTTACTAGAATGATCAAAATGCAAATTTTTGCATTGAAAGCATTTTTTAAACCAACTTTTCAGTACTTTTGCGGCTTAAGTATTCGAAATATCCCAGTAGTTTATTACACAAAATATGCTTTACATTGTCTTATTTGCGAAGTTTCGACATTTACTCCCCCTCCCCAAACAGACAATACATATACGATGTATGTATGTATGTATATATATATATATATATGTATATATATATGTATATATATATATATATAAAAATTCAATACATATTCGATTAATATAATGATGGAATTCGGCTGCTGAGGGCCTTGCTTTTCAGGAGGGAACATTTTCCTAAAGTGGGTGTGCGTGCTTGTGCGCAGGCCGCGCGCGCGCGCGGTGGCGGAGGGCGTGCGCGCGTTCGCGGCGGCCAAGCGCTGCGCTGCGTCCGCCGCGGCGGGGCGGAGGCGCAGGCGGCAGGACGGAGGCGCGCTGGAGTCGCCTGCGCGCGGTGCGCCAACGCCACAGGCCGCCAGCGAGCAGCTGCGCCTCGAGGGGAGCGCGCCGCCTCGCGCAGCTTACAGCAACAGCAGCCGCGCCGATGTGGAGCGGCAACGGCGCCGCGGTGGGCCTTGGCACTCGGGCAAGGGCTCACGCTGCACGGGTGAGCAGCACACGTGTGGCCACTCCACGCATTTCTCGCTCACCTTCTCTACACGTCCTGCTCTCCCTGTCTCCCTCTCTTCACCCTGTCTCTACTCACTCTCCTTCTCTGCCTCTCCTCCCTCTTCTCAATCTCTCTTCCACTCCCTCTTCTCACTCCCTCTTCTCACTCCTCTCTCTCACTCACTCTCTCTCACTCACTCTCTCTCACTCCCTCTCTCTCACTCACTCTCTCTCACTCCCTCTCTCTTACTCACTCTCACTCTCTCTCACTCAATCTCTCTCACTCACTCTCTCTGCCCCTTTCTCGCCCTCTTTTTCTCTCCCTGTCTTTCTCTCCCTCTCTCCTTTTCTCTCCCTCCCTCGCCTTCTCTCACCCTCTCTCCCATCTCACTCCCTGTCTTTGTCCCTCTCCATCCCTACCTTGCCCTCCCCCTCTCTTCCTCTCATTCCCTCTCTCTCCCTCCTCCCTCTATCTTCCTCTTTCTCCATCCTCCCTCTCTCTTCCTCTTCCTATTTCTCCCTCTCTTCCTCTTTCTCCCTCCCTCTGTCCTTCTCACTCCCCCTCTTCTTCTCTCTTCCTTTTTTGTGTCTCTTTCACTCTCTCTCTCCCTCTGCCAAAGAATATGTGGTGGAAAAATGTCTTATGGGTTGCGCATCTTAAATTTGCCCCTGATTGACAACTATACAGGTCACGTTCTAAGGCATGCTGTGATAGTGATTTCAAGAACCTGCCGATCACAATGAGATGAAGACAATTATGGGCAAATTTCACATGCAATATTTGTTATATGAAATTTCCCCCTACCTATGACCGGTATACACCGGTTGAGTTAGCTCAGAGCCAGCGTTACCGTCGTGTCTTTTGCAGCGAGTGTGGCCGGGAGACGCTAGGTATCGAGTTTCGACGGTTGTCTGAAGAGAATTCTAGCAGTGCTCGCTGTAGGTGAAGGTAGAAATCCCCAACAAGTCGACATGAAAGTCGGCGCCGGATCCCACGTTTTAGCAGGGGAGGAACTACACCACCTCCCGAGATACAACACGTACGCACTAAAATATAACTGCCGAGATGACATAGATTTACGGTACTAAGGATCTTTGCTGTTCTCGCGCGTGGAAACAAAACAATCAAAGAACCGACCGCGGTGAACCTTTGCTGTTGTCCGCGTGCAACTCTTCTTTCACTAAATTAAAGCTGATGAGCACGAACGCCGCTTTTTCACTCCACCCCTCCCCCTTTTCGGGTTTACGCATAAGCAGCAGGCCACACCAGCTGCCTACAGGGAAGCGCATTTCAGTAAGTATAGCGGCTACGTGTAATTACTGTACAACTGTATTAACTAGGGCGATTACTAATGGCCATACATGTCAAAAATACTGATTATTTTATGTTCGTCAGTTTCTATCGCCTTTAGACCGGTAAGTGTCCGTAGTACACTCTGTAAGCTTACAGTATTTCTCCAGCGCTAGGACATGGGATCTGGCGCCGACCCACATCTCAGTTTTCCCGCCTTTCATGTGTGGTTGTGTAGTGCATGTAAGTGTGTGTGAGTAAGGGGTGAAGATAGGGCAAGGAAGAGGAAGGAAAGATCGCGCGCGGTCGGAGATCCATTTATTAGGGTACTACACTGGTGTTTGCTTGGAGTTGATGGAAGAAACCACGGGAAACAACCCACCGCAGCTCCCGGCCGTTAGAATTCTCCTCCAGACAGACGCTGTATTCGACCCAGCTATGTGGCCCCTCAAATGAGCGTGTATCAACGTGTTTTGTCGCAGGCTGACGGATGATGAGAACGGCAGCTGAATGATGAGAACGGGCGACGACCTTCCCGCGGCTAGCGGGGTTTTCCACAACTAGGTATTTCCTCCTAGCACACACCCCCAATTACCCGGGAGGAGCTCTAAGATCTCGGCCGACCTCTCGGCATGTGTGGTAGTGTAGTGAATGTAAGTGTGTGTGTAAAAGGTGAAGATAGGGCAAGGGATGGGAAGGAAAGATCGCGCGAGGTCCGTGGTCCGATTGTTAGGGCCCTTCTCCGGCATTCACCTGATAGTGATCGGAGAAACTACGGGATACTACTGATTCTAATTTTTTCTGTCCCCTGCCGACACACATGTACACTGACAGGCTTGTATCCGGATCCCGCTGGAACCCAGTTTTTCCTCACGGCAAACTTCCAATAAAATGCCAGGCTTGGACAGTCCTGCAACTCAGAGTTTCTAACTATCCACACTAAATCCGGAGTCAAAACAATTCTCCCCACACATGCACCGGGACAACTACTCTAAGACCAGAGCATCGGGCCACTGCCACGACAAAGCCAAGAACCCAATAGGGAGCCACCTGACCTGAGGTCGTGGCGACTCGGGGCCCCCTTATCCTCAGGCTAGGCAACCTGGAGGTGGGGTTCGTTGACCCCATCTAGACTTCTATTCGATGTGGAATCTGGAGCATTCATGCGAACGACCTTCGCCCGATCCAGCCTAAAGGTCGGCGCCAAGGGCCCAACTCGCGAGTTACCGGGCAAGTCCGGCAACACGGAGCTTAGCATGTGCCTACTCACTTCCTCCATCTTGGAGCTATCGATGTGAGTTGCGCCGTGAAACTCAGGGTCGGGGTGGTCGTCGACAACTCTCCCCCAGAGATCGTGTCCCGTTCCTAGGCTGTGTATGCCCTCTCGTGAGTACAACAAACGTTGTCGCGCGTTTGTGTGGCAGGCTGACGGCCCTGCCCGCCGGCGCCCGGCGTGCAGCGCGATGGAGTGCACGTGCGTGGCGCGGAGCGCGTCCGGGTCCGGGCGGGGCGCGGCGTCCGCTCGGCGGGGCGGCTCGACGCGGACGGGGGCGGCGGCGCGTCCGCCGTCGGTGTACGCGCCGCTGGGCGAGGCGTGGGCGGCGGCGCTGGGCGGGGCGGCGCTGCTGGGCGCGCTGCTCACCGCGCTCACCGCCCTCTACTTCCTGGCGGCGGCGGCGCTGCCGCGCTCGCCCTCGGCGTCAGCGCTCGCCGCCGGCACCTCGCCGCTCGGCCACCTCATGCTGCTGGGCCTGCTGCTGCTGTTCGCCGGCACGCTCAGCTTCGTGCTGGCGCCCACCGCCGCCACCTGCGGCGCCAGGCGCTTCGTACCGCCGCTCGCCTACGCCCTCGTCTTCTCCGGCATGCTGCTCAAGGTGGGCCCACTCTCTCTCTCTCGGAATGAATGTTGCAAACTGCTACGTCATGTAGGAGGCCCAAGTGGGTGGATTTTAATGAAATGCCTTTTTTTTTTCTTTTCACTTTAGAATAAAGCCTTGTAATGCAGACAATGATTTTATGTTATGAGTATGATCCTTTTTTATATGACTTTTTTTGCATTTTTTATCCATTTCATCTTATAATTCATTTTTTAAACTTTTCCGTCATTTTTCAAGCAGTTATATCTGATTTAATCGATCTAAATAGAATTTTAATAGTACTTGCTTCAAACAATATTTACTAGATGCAACAAACCTAGTCCACAGATATCCTGTCCATATTCGTTTACTTCGCTCAGAAATTGTAATATCAGCCGTTGTGAATATATAGTATAAGATTCCTGTGTCGCCTATCAGCGTCATTGTCAATTAGGACGATTTCCTGATAACTGAAGCCAGAGGCTAAAGAATAGTTCTGGTAAAAAACAGTTCAAACCAAAAGTTTGCAAGCCGAGTTCACTTGAATGAAATGAAGAAGCATCGATTACTGCAGTAACATTTCCAAGTGCTTGAGTTCTTCATCTGATGTGATTTTGATAAAAAAATTATTTAATTTTCTGACTTTTGGACATTTAAAAAAATTTAATACCATTTATTGATCATTTTTGTTGACGTTTTAAGGCCTTCAAAATTCGCCCCCTAACAATCACTATTTGATAGTGATCACTAAATGGGAAAATTAGTAAAAGTGACGTGTGTACATTTTTACCTGTGACATTTGCCTCTAGTTGTCAGGCCGTACTCACAGATGCTCACATGGTGCAATAACTACCCTTGACTGCATTAGAATGTGTTCTGTAAGGAGCTGCCCAACAAGAAAACAGAAGATGATGATCGTTATTGACTCATCTACATGACATAAACGTTTGCAACATTTATTCTGAGATATCTGTACACAATATACCTTGGGCATGTTGCTCAATGTAGACCTACAACGCGCTCTCCATCAGTCACTCCTTTCCTCTGGGGGATGCCAATAAATATTGAAAAAATAATACTACAGAAATAATACTTTGAATTATCCTCTCAGTTGAAATTACATTCTCCATTACGCTTTATTACCCACTCCAATAAAATAATTGGCCATCCTCTGAATATTTTGCGCGTGAAATCTGTAAAAAATGTTAGAATTACTTCCTTTAGTAACTCTCCTATTCATGAACTTCATTGACGAAAGTCTCCCATCATTCATTCACTCATGTATAAGCTGACTCATGTATAACCTGACTCATGTATAACCTTACAATAGTCACTTATAACATCTTTTCTACCCCTCCAATACGATTTGAATCTCCCACTGTGGTTGCACTGAACATTCGAAATGAATGCTTCGCGCGCGCTAAATGAGAATTCTAGATTTTATTCAAATGAAAAGTCAGCAATTGCTTCACTGATGAGCAGTTTCTCACAAATGGAGAAATCGTTCAAGGGAAGAGCAATTGCTAACACACTTTGTTCATTGTATTTGTAATAATTGCTTTCAAAATTCCAGATAGAAGTAATACTTCTTTTTTTCATAACAACCTGGCAGGAACATATTGCCTGTTGAGAATCCTAGTGACATACGACCAAACTTCATAATGTGGATAAACGTTTACAAAACTATACGCTTTGCATATACAGTTTTCTACGTTAGTCGATTCAGCTACTAATGTTGCATTCTTTTAGTTCTAAGAATTCCTTCATCTTTAGAACCCCATTTAATCACTAAAAGATTTTCCTGTTTTGACAAAATGGAGGCGCAGTTCATGATAAGGTTAAATTACAATTGCTGATGTTCTGAATTGCTGAACAGAAACTGATAAATGCAATCCATAGTTTGTTTTAATTTTACGCGGTGTGTGTGCGGGGGCTGCTTTTCAGGTGTTCACGTCGTGGCAGCTGGCGAGCGTGAGCGACTCGGTGGGCGGCGGCGGCGCGGGGGCGGCGGCGACGGCGGCGGCGCTGGGGCTGGCGCGTCCGGCCGTGCTCATCCCCACCGCCTGCGCGCTCACCGCCGTGCAGGTACCCACAAACAAATACCCATGTTGCCAGTAATGCAAGTGATGTTAATAAAATTAAAACTTAAATGTTAAGTATACATCGACCAAAAACCGTCGATCAAACATCGATGATTCATAGCTGATTTAGTAACCTCCAACATTAAAGTTGATGTTTTAAATGTGGTTTAAAATTTAATATGGCAGTGGCCGTGTATGAATTTAACTAAAAAAAGATATTAAACCTCGCCATGCCATGACTCGCCATGTGCGAAATGCGATGAAAGACAAACGAAACGCTAGGACATCAGGATCATGTTTGGTGAGGTCTGCGGGATGAAAGTAGAACAAACTATTCTTTTGGTTCGGACACGTAATCTGACAGTGTCATGTCACGATTTTTATAATTACTGTAGAACTGAACAACTAATTATTAAATCATAAGTTGTCGAAATGAAACGTTTATTGCACCTGTAGCATCAATGTATCACAGGTTTATGTAGCAGTAATTTTTATTTAGAGGATCTTGTAAAATAGGTAATCTTCTTTTTTAATCTTAAGGGATTCAATCCGCTTGATGATGCGAGTCACTATGCTACGTTGCCATTTTCTCGCATCGCACGCTACGTTGCATTGTCTGGTAATCGTATAGGTGTATTTGTATAGGTACGATATATTTTTTCGGATAATTTATTTACATTTACGAATCCGAACAGACCTTACCATATAAGTTCGGAATAGTTCACAATTAGTCACCAAATTAGTTCACATTAAGTCGAATATATATATATATATATATATATATATATATATTATATTATATTTAGATATATATATATATGGACCGGTATACATATTAATTTAAACATTATATATATATATTTTTTTTATATATATAGATCTATATGTGGTATGTGTATTAGTAGTGGTGTTGTGTGTGTGTTTGTGTGTGGTGTTGTGTGACGTGTTGTGACCATGTTGCTGAGGGCTTGGTGCGGGCGGGTGGCTGCTGCTGTGCCCGCGCGGCTCGTGCCGCTGCGCTCGTCTGCGGTTGTGCGATGCGGGGGCCTGGGCCGCGTGGCGCTGTACCGCACGGCACCCTGGAGTCGCAACTGCTGCTGTCATGGCTACTTCGCTGCCTCCTGCTGCTCGCCGCCGCCGCCCTCGCCCTCGCGTGCTGCCGCAGGTACGAGCTCGCACCCTCTACGCCTGCAAGGTCGGTTCCTGACACCGGCCCCCCCCACAACCCATTGCGTACGTATCGGCGAACCGCTCGCCCGATCTCGAGAAGTGGGATGGTTGCCTTTGCATATTTTGGCGAGCGACGAACATTCGGGTGTCGCCTATCACCTGGTTCAGTCTTTTTGGATACTTTAAAAGGACGCGAACTTCACTACAGCGCTAGGGAGGACGAGCAGTAGCTCGATTTCGCTTAATTCGCAATGTTGGGAGCCACTCTCGAGCGGTCGCAGCCAAGTACTTCTTTTCCTTACATCACGTTCACTCTTAGGGCCAGTCACACGCGCAAGGGATGGATCCAGACAGTATTTAGGGCCTGGAGGATTTAAATATTTATTTATTAATACAAATTTAAAAAAGCAGTACGATTGATTGAGGAATGGGAATATTGCAATGTGACGAATGTGATGAAAGATAGTATGAGTAAATATTTTCAATAAACCAGTAAAATTATCATAATGTGGGTAGGGCATGATTCACCATTGCAAGGGTTACATGTACTTGGTGTTATCAATTCATGTCAATTGGGAAGAATAAGTTTGGCAAATCTTTACTAAATCGAAGTAGTGCAGTTCGACATTCCAACAGACTGTAATCAATAGTAATAAAGGATTATTAAATTTGAAACAATCTAGATCTTCTGGAATTAAAAATTCTATGAACGACAATTGCACCTAAATTGCAATTTTATTATCAGTATATGAAAATTCTTTCATCCTTACTTCTTAATATAAATTTTTCACATTGGACTGTATAATAAATGCTAAGTCTTATAAAATACATTATCTGATTTATTAGAAGAATTTTTGTTTCTGTCAATTTTGCCATAGGAACTCCTTTGTAGTTCTACGAATATCATATACAGTCAATTCGTTTTTTTTCTAAAATTTATTCAACCAATTTTTATATACGTTGTTCCTTTTTGCATGCCATTTAGAACGACTTTTCATTAAAAAAATAAATAGATAATGAAATTGTACATATCCCTCTCTTTCCTGGATATGATTTTTATTAATGGAGACCTCTATTAAGATTTCCTTGCTGGATCTGACGCTGAATGAGTATAGTATCTTAAGGTTTTCTCATGTTCCTAAAATCCCGAACCCATTGATCTGTCATGTTTGCCTTCATATGAATGAAATTTAAAAAAATAAAAAAATAAAAATACAAACGGGGCAGAAACAAATTGTGCAATCATTCTACACAAACTAGAGGGATGGGTGCGGCAATTACGCGGCCTTCTGGGAGAAGATATTTGATTGTATTGATTTAGCAAATGGTGATCTGTTGTAAGTCAGCTGGGGCGTTCTCCAAGTTGTTTCGACTTTAATTTCTAGGGATGAGTTCCAGATGGATAACGGTCATTGAAAATCCGACGTCGTAATAATCGGGAGTGAAGAGAGATGCCTGAAGCGGCGGAAAAATTGAGAGCCTTGAATGGTGTTGAATTTTTAAAATTTATATACACGTTTTTGTTTTTTTTTTCTTGACCTTTTGCGCATTTACGGACATTAGGGAGTGTTGCCATCTCGGGGAAAGTAAAGCAAGTTAAGGGAAACTTGAACCTGTAAATGGCAAATCGGTAGTGTTGCACGCCTTAGCAGGCAGCAATCGGACTGCAATTCGATCTTTTTTGGCATGCGAGATGCAAACTTATACGAAAATTGAACTGAAATGCACAGATGCGATAGTGCTGTCGATTGCTGTAATCCCTAATAGGGATTTGTGTGACTCCCAGAGAGCGTCAGCACTATCGATCGTCTGCAGATGCGCAGTTTAAGTTTCGCGCCTTAAGTAGATGCGGCTGCGAGAATATCGGCTCCGGGTGTGACGCTCGTGTGACAAACTCCTATTAGGGACGTTACAGGCAATCGACAGTATCGAACTGTGATTTGCAGTTCAAGTTTCGTATAAGTTGTGCATCTGGTGCGCAGAGATTGTGGAGGTCAATCGATTTCTGCCGCTAAAGGGGTGCATTCTCCCTATTAGCTCTCCCCTGGCGTATTTAATGAGTGTTAATTTAATTAGAGCCCTCTATTTACAATGAGTGCTTTGGGGCTTTTGGATCAGTGAGCAGTTATTCAATGTTCGATCAAGTTGAATATAAAATCTTTGAACAAACAATCTTGAATCAATTTTAATTAATAAATGGCATTGTTATCAGTAACGGTGCTCACAATTTGCATTCTTTACGACTGCGAATTATTCTAAGGTATTTTGCGTCAAAGGTGACGGGATGGTGAAATATATTATTATCATGGAGCGATAATACGTTGTGAAAATGCTGAAGGATTGTATGTGGTTGAGCGGCTGGGCACACCAGAAGGCTCCGGAATTGAGTCCCGGTTCGTGCAACCAATTTTTTGAACAAAATTAATTGTACTGATATAGTTAGCAAGATTTTGGTTACTGATTACTACAAAAACGATCGCATAACTGATCGATCTCCGTGGTCAATCGGAGAATGTCCAAGGCGAGCGGCGGCTTTGTGGCGCAGGCGCGGGCGCGGGCGCGGGCGCGGCGCGGCGAGTGGCGGCGCGGCGGCGGAGGCGGCGCTTGATTGGCGGCGGGCTGGTGGGGGGGCGCGCTGCTGCGTGGGCGGCGGCCGGCGCGCTGGTGGCCCGCGCGCGCCGACCTTCTGCTCGGGGCCGCGCACCTCTGGCCGCCGCAGCGCTGGTGGTCTTGGCTCTACGTGCCAAGGTGGCCCGCCCTTACCTCTGCAGCCGTTTTATTTACTTATTTATTTATTTATTATTTATTTTATTTATATTATTATTTATTTATTTAATTTATTTATTTATTTATTTATTTTATTATTTTTCATTATTTATTTATTTTATTATTTATTTATTTATTTTTTATTTATTTTTTATTTTATTTCTTTATTTTATTATTTATTTA